GTTTTGGGGGGTACCCACGAAGGACGTTGGAGTATACCCATTCCGCCAGCCTAGTTAGCTGCACTCCCTTAGCAAAGGTTAGAGTCCCTTCTTGCTGTACTTGCTTCCTTTTGTGTGATTTACAACGTGTAGCGGCCTTGTTGGCTGCCTGTAGGTCAGCAACCTGGTTGCGCACTAAAACTACATCGGGAAAAGTTTTTCGAAATCCGGCCCAGACTGGCTGTTGCTGACAGTCGTGGCATGGTCGTGCAACGGCCGTTCAACGGCCCTAACAGCCCCAATTTGCGCCCAACAGCCCCAATTTCGCGCTAACATTACTAACAGCTAAAACACTAAGTGCCTATATTTAATAAACTTAAAATAACGTTGCAACGTTGTTGCATAGCTACCCTTAGTTCTGCTAACGTAGATTATCACTAAGCCAGCCATATCACTAAACTGGCCATTTTCTCTTAGCATGACTAACACAAGTTACTGCAACTACAACTACTTGCTATTAAATAGTGACCTAGTATACTGCGTGCGTGCATTAGATTTAGAAGATGTTTCTACACCCTTCTAGCACGTTCGTGTGTTGTGTCTAGTTTTGCTATAGTTCCTACAGTGCTAAACAGTTGACTAAGCTCCTAGTTGACCACCTCCACCCTAAGTCTTCTTAGATGGCTGAGCTGCTACACACGCCTTAGCAGCTACCCGCGATGCTGCTGGGCCATACTCAAGTGTGCCACTATGCTGAATCTGCTTTCTCTTACGCGATTTTCTCTTAGTTATTACTACTAATTGCTCTTCAAGCTCTTGCACGCAGGCCTTAATAAGGATGTTTTTGTGCAGTATCTCTTTAGCCCCTTTTATAAGCTTTAAGAACCCCTCTTGCGCTGCACTTAGTAATTGTTAGAAGGAGTTACTTACAAGCTTAGATTAAGACCTAAACTTGTGTGTATTGCTTAGCGTCTTAGATTACTACAGCATTTTAGGTAGAGGTACTGCTAGTAGGGTATACAGCTGTACTTTAAGGCAATCTAACACTACCTACATGTTAGTAGGAACAAGCCCTAATACCTTAAAGGCCTTTTAGTAGTTAACCTTTATAAATATATTAAGGAACATGTCCCTAAAGGCTAGTAGGAAGCCTTCCTTATTAATATAGAAGACATGTTAGTGTGCTAAGTCTTAAATATGTTAGGAGTACTTACGCTTTAATAGCAAGAAATAGACTATGTTAAGTAGCTAGAGGATATGTAATAAGTAAGGTAGTATATAGAGAGTAAGGATTTAGTTCTCTAGGTAATAGTCCTTAAACTCCTAGTTAAGATAGCTCTTATAGCTGTCTAAGATAAGTAGCCTATACACTCCTACCTAACATGTCTTTATATACGTGTTAAAGTGCTTTAACTACTTAAGGCTAAGTATGTTATTTATCTAACTATTCTTAGAGACTAAGAGCTTCTAATTGTAGGGTATATCTGTCTCCTTATACTAGGCAGAGATGTGGACGTGTCCTTTGTAGATAATGAAAGGTGGGGTTGCATACCTAGCGGCGCAGATGCTCTGGATAACAGTAACCCACTCGCGATCACCTGGCTGAACAAGCTCTAGCTAAGCATGTCTCTCTAAGCCTGTTACAACCTTTAAAGATAAAGCAACACCTATCTAGAACCTAGTTTTATTAAAGTTGTGTATGTTATTATT